GAGTTTGAAAACAGGATAGAGGCCAGATTGTTCACAAGGTATTTATAAGAAATGCATAGGTGTGTACCTTTAAGAAAAGCAGCACTGATAGTTTTAAAATATAATTTCAAACCCATATGGGATCCTTAAAACTAAGTCATACATTCAATGTGAAAAAACCTAAAGATTCCTGAACTTCTAGACAACACCTTTTTGTGCAGTGCCAGTTGCTGACGTCATCACTCTGACCTTGACAAGATACAGAGATTTATACCTGGCTATTCACAAGCAAGAACAAGGAAGACTGATGTTTCAATTAAAACATGTCTTGAAGATGGAGATAAATGACAATAAACAACAGAGTAACGTGTATGGATATTACTATTAATCTACTGCTCTCCTGTTTTCAGTCTGAATGGCACTTAGGTCTGATGAACAAATCCCAGGGGAATAGAAGCATTCTGTATAGGGAGGGTTCTGACATGCATCTATCCTAACAGCTCAGCCTGAACTGCTCACACAGAGCCCACAGTCCTGGCCAGCAGCCAAGCGCAACACATTCTGCAGAGCCTGAACACAAAAGGTAGTCAGAAGTTGCCCAGTTAAATAAATCTTGTTTAGACACATAACACAGTCACTTGGGTCCAGAAAGGCACTGACAGAATTAAAATGGAAATATGAAGGCCCAATCAGGTCCAAAGCTTGTATCTTGAAATCCTCAGGTCACCCATTATAGGAAGGGAAAAGTGAGGAGGCAGGAGTTGACCTTGCTGAGGGAGAAGAATGCCATGAGGGAACAGGACAGCACAGCTGGGTAAGCCTGCAGACAAGGGTCGAATTTAAGATATGTCCTCTTTTTCTAGGCTGACTAGTTCTATGTCTTTATTCACAGCCTTCTATTTTTATAGAAGAATCCAACTGTGAGATGTTTGATTCTTCCTGAACTTTGTTTAGGGTAAACTTGGTATTTGATTCAGGCATGAAGAGATCCTGTAAATAAAAAGTAGGCATTGAAATCCTCTCTGCTGGACCACCAAAACTGCAGTTTGAGTGTGATGCAAAAGAAAATGAAAATATAACAAGAAAAAGGAAATCTCAATGCAGCGCTTAAGGTATAATTAATAAATACAATTTGATTACAAGTCAGTGTCCAGTAAATTTACATATGAGAGCACAGTGAAGGTCATAAGGCCTTCAGAAACACTCCAACATTTTAAAAAGAAATATTTAATTTCTGATGTTGCAGTGACGTGACATGCACTCTCAGGCTCGTTCAATGCAAATTCACCCCAAAATATTCCATAATTTTTCTGATTTTATGGCTGGTAGTTATTTTTAGTCTAGATGAAGTCTTAGACCCTTCCCACAACAAACACATAGACAATTCCACCAGCTGAACTAGAAAGAGGGCATATGGTGGAAACAAATTCAGAAAATGACTCATTTAAATCAGTACTGCTATTGAAAGAAATGCCCCAAAACCTGAAACACTGGATATTTTATTATTTGCTCCTTTGGAGAAAGAAGCATTGCCTAGAGCAACAAGGATTATATTCAGCTACACAAAGTACTTATGCCCTTAAACCAATATCTTTTTACCTAAATCCTTCTCTCAAGATGCTTCTTTAGTGGTCTAAAAATATCCAACTTTTCAGACTGAATGCCTTCCTAGGCTGTGACCTTGCCAGGAGACTACAAAACTGTGCAACTTCAAGAGAAATCCTATTCATCTTCCTAAATGCAACTTCACAAACATAATTTTTTATTTTACTGATGAAAAATCAACCACTTCCTTTGGGTTTTGTAATCAGTGCTGGAAACACACATTAACAGCTCTGAAATCACATAATTTATCTTTAAGCCAAGTATCAGTTTCTTATTCTGCACTGCAATAATTCAAAGACTCAGAGACATAATGCCAAAAGGGACTATTAGACCACCTTGGCTAACTCTTGCGTACTTGCAGACTTCAAAACTTCCTACAGTCACTCTGTAACTTAGTCAACTAAAGTATGAATAACATTTCCCCAAACTTTCTGAAAGGTCTCTATCCTTAGCTTAAAGATAGCTAGAGATTTATCATTTTGGTAATTTATTCTTTCTTTCCTACAAGTTTTATTAGATATTTTCCTAACTGAAATTATCTATCTTTCTTCTCCCCCCCAACCCATTTGTCTATATTTTCTTTTTGTCCTGGATGTTTGCATAAGGTAAGTGAGCCACGTGTGATGATGCAGTCTATGTTTCAAGTCTATGTTTCAAGCATGCAGAAGTAATATTGCATCTGAATTCCTACTTTATTCACAAACTAAGACACGCATTGTACTATTTTAGGAAAAACTTTTCCCCTTCTTTAACAATCAGCGTATTTTGAAGCTAGTGCCCAACAAATATTTTCAGCTTCTTCTGGTTTAATCCAGACTCTGAAGGCACAGTCCTGCCTAGCCTTTTTCCCAGTTTTCCCTCTTCCTTCTTCCTACCACAAGAGTTTGTGTGAAAACATTGAAGATCAAACCATGAAACCAATCAAGCTGAACAATAATCTTTCCATGTTGCCTTTCAGCATGATTAGTATCCCAGATGGGGACAATCTGCTTTAGATGAAAGGTTCCTCTGCTACCACATGTATGCAGACTGTTATTGCAGTGTACTACTGAGTACATTGTGTTTGTCCTGCAATTATTTCTTTGGCTTGTATGTGTGTAACATTGCCTTCAGTTGTGCTCCCATTACTGTCTACTGCTCTGCAGTATCATGGCTGACAAATTTTAATGCCATCCATTTTACACACATTTCTGTATTTCTAGCACAATTACTAATAAACTACTAAAAATTTAATTCGGCGACAGCTCGTTGTTTATAGTAATTTCTGAAACACGGCACCCAGATTCAAATCTCTTTGTCATGTACTTTACCTTTCTTTAAAAAATGAAAATATCATATGTTGAAAAGTCAGAAGCTTTGCAGAGGTCTAAGTCTACAAATTTATCAATATCACTAATCAAAATTGTAATTTCCTCAAAACATATAATCAAGTATTTAAAAACAATTATTTTCCTTATAGACTAGCTGCAAATATATTTTTCTCTTTTAACATCTTATTTAGTTTTGCAATTATAAGTTTACAAAAATCAGCACTTCAATATTCTATAAATTCTTTCAGTACCTAAACAAAGTTTGTTTCATTTATTTCCTTAAAATATATTATCTGTGTGATTTGACAGGCTGCTTCTCAAAAGATAATAAAGTAGCCTGCCTCAACAAGCTGAGGCTTTTTTTACTATTTAGCAGACTATTCTATCATTCTATAAATTCAGTCTGCCTTTTATTCTATTTCATATTTATCATATTGGTAGCATCGCTGATGCAATTATTTTAGATCACTATTACACATTTAAGAGATCTATTGACTTCACTGGGAATATTTATGCAAAGTGCCACAAACTCATGGAGCACAATTTCTGACCTAATTGTGAACCTCTTAGTTCAGAAAGCTATGTAAAATAATCCAATCACCACTATCAGCAAAAAATGAAATATATAGAAACAGCAGTTCTCCATTTTATTAATCAATAAGTGCTCTTCCATTTGTTTTCAAATTAATTTTAAAATGTTACACTACAAATTAGGATCCTTGATTTTACGTTTTTCTCTGTAGGTATTGCTACAAACTCTGTGTAACCAAGAGGGAAAAAGAGGCCTTTGAAAAACACATTAAAAACCACTGAACGCAAGAGCAACCAAATAGCAACAAAAAGCCCAGAAAAACTCCCAGGCAAAATTTAAATTTTCTTTGAAATTTAATTACAAAAAAAAAAATTTAGATCTTGCTATCTTTTTTTTTGTCTTTGAATAAATTACCAGTGATATGCTTTCAATCTGTTCTGGTTTGGAATATGGAGATCCAGGTATGCAGGCACACAGACAGCAGGTCCTCTGGGATCCTCCTGAAAAGCCCAGACCCCACACACTGTAATGCAGTATGAAGTCCTCTGCCTGTGTGTAGGTGACTTGACATATCTTGAACTACACCTCAGATGGAATGGAATGGGAAGGGAGTCCCTCTGAAAGAAGTTCTGCACCCTATGGGCCTTTGTCCCCTGCTGACAGAATTTTAAGTCAGAATAAATAGTAACGAAAAATTACCATGTGTTTAGGAAAAGTTCAGTCCCAAAACAGGCTCAAAGCAGACATCTAAGAACAATTCAGGCAGTTTTTAATGCTGATCTCTTGAGCAATCAGTAGTAATGACCAGTCAGATCACACATGGTGTGCATACAAGCTGTCCAGAGCCAAGTTCAGTTATGACTTTTGGAAAAGCTTTTCCCTTTACACTGTTCAGTGCAAGTACTTAGAATGTATGTATAGTACTTAGAATGTGTACAGCAATACATACAAGGGTTCAGAGGTCTAATCTGAGGACCTATCTTGACTTGGATGAACTACTCAGTTTGTGGCTGTGAGAACTGTCTACAGTGACTAATGGTTTCTCTAAATATCTTTCATGTTTCTGGGAAAAATTCCTACTCTGCTTTGTCCTTGTTGGTTTACCTCCTATGAGTGGAACTGGCTGAAATACTTTTGTGTGCACATGCATTTGTGCATGCAGCTCATTAAAACACAGGGCACTTTTAACAGGGAGAGTTTACAATTGTGGGATACTCAAAGCTCCAACATCTTTCAAATGTGGCATTTGTTGAAATCCAGCATCAGTAAAATTATAAACCTACACAGGAAGAATAAATATTCATGAGTAGACAAACTCATACTGCCATAATTTTTAAAAATAATTACAGTTTAACTTTACTGAGAATGCTGATTGTTCAAATACATCCAGGGTGATAGGTTCCTTCAAAAGCTTGACATAAATGAGGGGACAGCAAAAATAAATGCACTCCTGCAACCTGATTTCTTCACCTCTACAACAATGCATGCCATTTAGCTGGAAGTGTTCCTTGGGTAACTTTTCTTCAGCACAACCACTAATGTGCAATAAATCCAGTAATACACTGATTACTCACCTCATCAACTCGAGGATCTTGAGCCTGAGCAGCATTGGGCACTGGGGAGTCACAGTCTGGGCTATAATGCTCACAATAGTCAAATGCAGCTCTGGGATCAGCTATAATCAACAGCTGCTGGATCTCACCCTGCAGGAAAGCATATGCAGATTAAATAACAGAACCAAAGGTAGTCTACAGTTCATCAGGAGTACAGAGTTCACATTCAGAAACAAAACCAGGCACATAATACTTAGATATTTCCATCTGTGGTTATAAATAACATATCCACTTAATTTCTGCTGCTATTATGGAAAACAACTATTGTTCACATGGCAAAACAATGCAAATTAATATCAAATGGACTAGGTGCAAAATTCTGGCTTAAAATCATGTCTGGTTTTGAAAGGAGAGAGTGAGAAGGTGTAAGTTCTGATCTGTGATTTTCATGCTGTTTGTTTACTTCTACACTGGGAATCAGTCTAAATTCCTAAGACTTAATTCAGGGCACTTCCTATTACCAGCATGCAGCTCAGCATGCAAGTGATCAACAATATAATTATGAGTTTGCAACACATATGCAGTCTCAAAGGAGACTAAAATAAAATAAAATAAAATAGTCTGTACCAGAGACAGTTATTTGAATAAAATATAATTAAGTGAGCACTGTATAAATATGCACTATAGATTGTGTTGGAAAAAATGTAACTGCTAAAAAATGTTGGTTTTGCCTCTATTTCCATATATCATGCATAAAAACAACATCACAGAAAGAGACCCACTATTCTGGATAATAAAATGGCTCTGCTGAGATCCCCTACAGAGATCTTGTATGTTTATCATTTTCCACAGAAAGCTGTCTGGTATCCAGTGTATTTCTTAACATAGTGGTACTATTTAGGCAGCATTAGGTTAATTTCTGCCAACATTTCCACTATAAATTTTCTCATCCAGGAGCTTCTTATGCTCACATAAAAATAAGTTTGTTGGAAATTGGCACATGTTCTTGGTCAAAACCCATTAAATTCAATCTCTCACTATTTCCCCACAAGGGGGTGATTTTTAAGATTTATATACTTCTAGCAGGTTTGTTTTTTTTGGTTGTTTTTTTTTACCCAAAAGAGGGGCAAATGAATATCTTTGTTAGTATACCTGTGCCTGTTTGGTCTTTAAAGACAAGATATCATAACTGATTAAAATCTACAGGTGGGAAAATTCATAATTCTCTCAGTATTTCCAGAATCATTTTACATCTATAGTAACAGTAACCTTTAACAAATTAAGAAAACTGGAGCATATTTTTAAATAGTAAATAATAATTGAAACATTCCTTCCTTACAAAATGAAAAAACAGAGACATAAGCAAAATTTCCTCAAACTGAAAAAAAAAAAATCAAGAAATAATCTGCAATTTTACTAGTTCTTCAATTTTTTAACTAATTTTTCAGTCATAAAGTAGGAAAGAGTTTCATAGCACATAATGGCTATATGTTACAATCCTGCTTTTTAGAGTACTCTAAGCTCACTTCACTTTTATAGACATGTGTGTCTCAGATTAATTTAGATTTAGAATATTTTTTTCTAAGCTTCCAGAAATACTACAAATGCAACAGTTTCTTTCTCTGTCAGCAGCTCTGGACTGTCTCCTTTATTTTCCTTAATTCGCTAATGCTTCCTGATTTGCACATCTTACAAAACCTACTACACATACAGAAAAATTCCCCCTTTGATTTCTTCCATGACTCCCTCAAGAGCTGGAGTGCTTTGAGAGGTTTTGTACAGTCATTGTCAGCCTGAGCTATGCATCCCCCGTCTCCAGCAAGTGTTTCCAAAGTGCTCTGCCCTTTCTCTTTCACCAACCACATTAAAACCAAGTGAGGCAGAGGAAAAAATGAGAGAGAATAAGCAACTGTAAGACAAAAGAGGTAAGTGACCCTTTTGAGCAACCTAGAGGTGGATGCGTAGAACCTCTGTCCTCACCCTGCTGAGTTCAAATCATGGTCTTGCTCTTTGGCCCTGAGCATTCCTGGCTGTCTGAGGTGCCTGGACAGATCTCCGTGTCCGCAGAGTGCCAGCCAGCGGGAGCCATGCCCAAACAGCTCCTGAAACTACTGTTTAGTCAGAGAGCCTAAGAGAACACAGGCCCAGGAATACAGCCAGTACTCTGGAGCTTTGTACTGGTCTTGAATGCCATGGAATTTTGGCACTGAGTTCTGTTGGATTGTGTGTTTGCAAGAAGCACTCGGTATGCTGTTACCACTTGGCTTAAATGTGCCTAAATTGGTTAAAGCTGTTCCTGATCCATTGACTGTATTTCCCAGCCCCGCCTGTCTGCCTGTCATGGCTCCACATAGATGGAGGCCCTCAGAAATCCTACACAGAATACATATATTTTTACAGAATACATACATTGCTACTGGCTATAAATGTGCGAGAAGTTTACTGAAGAACCAATTGATTTTACATTTGGAATCCCAATTCTTAATTTCCCTCTTTTTCCTTCAAGATGTGCTATAAAAATGATTCCAGTAAATTATTCATTTTCCTTTTCTATTTTTTATTTTCTGTCTTTGCTAATTAAATTGTTTCTCTGAGTATTTTGTTCCATGAAGCATTGGCTGTACAGTAAGAATAGTTCAAGAGTTTTCCTTTCAGATCAGGTCAATCATACCAGCTCATGAAGTTCCACAGGAATTACTGCAGATTTCATTATTGTGATTTAGTTACCATTCTAAGGTATTTGTTGGACAAATCTATACTCTTTTCCATTGAAAATTTTTCACAGAATTGCTTCAGACTTTACAAACACATTCTTTGGTTTTAACTGCTTGACTTTGTGAGACCAAAATAGAATTTTATAAAGTTCCTTGCAAATAAACTACAAATAATCTGGTCATATTTCATGACCTGGAGTCGTAAGTGAGGCAAGTGAAGATCTACCTGCACAAGTCCGGAGAACTTTGAATTATGAGTTATTAAGAATTCCAATAGCTGACCTGTAAAAAAATACTGAGGTATCTAAACACATCTGCATATGTCATATCATTTTTCTTGTATGAAAATTTCAGGAACAAAGGAAGTCTCACGGGATAGAGTGATGAGAGAGACAAAAATGGAGAAAGAGAAAGAATAGATTAAAATGTAGAAATACGCTTGAGGATCCTAAAAGTCCTCTGAAAAGTGCATAGAGAAAAAAGGAACTACAAAATACTATGGTCTATAGACAAGTTCTTCCTTCTCTATGAAAATTTCATGATCATATCTGTTGGGAAAGATTGCTCAGGCAATTTCAAAGTTGGAAGTTGCTATCTAGCATGCTATAGAAGTAAAGCCTTCCCAGTCTCTGCTGAGCCAGCTGTCCACCATGCTTTGGTGTCAGAGGTAAGTGGGATGGCAGCAGAAGGCAGATGCAGAGAACATGTGGCAAGGTATCAGGCAGACATACACAGACACTTTCATATTAATACCTCTAACAAACTGCATGTTTAACTTGTCCCAAAACATTCTAAAAGCCTAGTTCACCTTTGAGAATCATAACCTTCTGCCTTGTAACAATTTTTTTTTCCTAGATAACACTTAAAACAATGCATTTTAAACAGTGGTTTGTCAGATAGTTAAATTAACTTGCTAATTAGGGATAAGAAAGATGAAAGCTACATCTCAGTTGCCCAGAAGTAGTGGAGACTATCCAGCAAGGTATTCTATATAACATTAACCATACAAGTACTTTGGAAGTAAATTTTAAACCTTAATATTTAGTTTGGATTCTAAATTCTTTATAGAAAAAGGAACTAAGTTGTTGTCAAGGCCAACATATAACTCACAAAGGCAATGCACAGTTCAATAATTCATTGTAATATGGAATAAAAATCGTTAAAATCTATGAACATCTTCATTCTCCTTTATTTCAGGGATATGCTCGTAACTAAAATCAGAGACTTTTGAATCAGCCTCATGGTTATATGATAAAAGCTGCCAGAGCCAAGATAAAATATCTTGTCCACCAATTATGCCCCGTGTGAAAACATGGTACAGAAGGATTCCTTCTAAGAGGTACTCCACCAAATTAGTTATTCTTTGCAGAATCCTCCAAGAGTACTAAAAGGAGTTGTTTTGATTGAGGAACTATTCACTTTGTTGCATGCCAGAGCAAATGTGGAGAACCAGGCTAGAGAGCTAGAAGGATAATCTGCTCAAATCAGCAGAACTCCAACCTGCTGGAACAACTGCACACACATTCACTCACATCAACTCTTCTACTACGAGGAACAGCCCAGCTAAGAATGAGAAGTGTGTGCTGAATTCATTCATTGAAAATTCCTCTGTGAATCTCACAGACATTCCACAGTGACATCGTGGAATGAGAAAATTTATGTGTATGTACACTCCCAGGACTTGCTGAAAACTCAAAGCAGTAATGGTGCAAAACAAGGTGAGATATCTGCACTGGAAAAATAGCTTTGACATGAAAACAGTGTAACACTAGAAAAATGCAGTGTTGAATACCAAAAAAAGAAATGGAAACCAAATTTGCAGGAAAGCAGTAAACTAACAAGTTCTCTTTCCAATTTTGGCTACATCTTCATGTAATTATCACTTTAGTTAGCCTCGTGGTAATAATTGTTACATGCCATTCCAAATCTTTTGGAGTCCTCCTCAGATTCCACAGCAGAAATAGGAACAAAGAAAATTTCCAGTTAGATATGGTGTCAGATTTTCTCAATGATATAAATCATAAAGGGTCTGACTAATTACTATTACATCAATAAACACTAATCACTGCTTATTACCTCAATTGACCTCATAAAATGTTTTAGGTGTCTGTTTTCTTGAAATATTATCTTTTCCTTCTAACTGGGTAATCTTACTAATGCTTTCTAAATATGGTGCATTAGAGAATCACATCCATAAAGTAGTTCATTTATAGTGTATTTATTACCTAAAAATTCCTATAATTGAAAAAAGACACCTCTGCTACCAACAGCCACATAGCTAAAATGGCAAAAGTATGAATTTATAATAGAAGGCTGTAAGAGCACTGTACGAAGAAATCAGTGCAGAAATTACTGTTTTCTTCCAGTCTGTGAAATTTTAATGGTCTAGTTGTTCTCTAGTTCCACAAGAAACTCAAACAGTTTTGGGGCAGATTT